TTGCCTTAACAACCACCTACTGCAATGGCCTGGGGAAAGTGAGGAGGGTGGAAGGAGAAAGTGATTCGGTGACTGTGAAGTCCTTTTAATCTGCTCCATAGGCCATTTCAACCTGGAAATGTGTCACAAATGTTTTCTCCTATTTCTTGGCAGCAGGCTGGATTCACAGCTAGGCCTGGAGGTGTGGGCACTACAGGCACCTGCAGGACAGGCTGGGCTTGGGTTAGTGCCTCTCTGATGGTGTTACCATCCCTAATTCCTCGGTATATTCCATAAAACATCCTGGAATTGAGTCTTTCAAGAAATATGCCACACGACATGGAAGTCCTGTAGTATTCTGCTAACAACTGTAGCTGTGTTTACTTGTACCCCTCTTTTCTAACCAAGCTCTTCAGACTAGCAAGACCACAAACCTTCCAGAAGTTCTACCTTCTGCACAGAGCACCCCGGGGCTGCAGCCATAACCTCGTGCTGGTATTTCTTTCAAGGGAGATACTGATTTTTGTGTGTCTTTTCTAACCAGTCATCTTTTTTCCTGAGATATTTAGGAGCATAATCATCTCTGAGATTTATTCTTGCTTGTTCAAGCATTATTCAGGTCAAATGAAAAGAAATGTAAAGGCATAAGCTTTGTTTCTGTGGAAAGGTAGACGAAACCCACGTTGCAACTCGGAGGCAGGACACAGGGCTCGCTTAAATAACGGCGTCAGAACATTCATAATAGGGCAATTTCACTGTGTTTATCTGCCCTATTCTTTAAGTGGGAAGTTACCTGCCTTAGGGCAATTTCCCGTTCTTTCTAGAGTCTGGGTAAGATTCAGACATTTCTTAAATGCAAAATTTATCTCCCTGAAAGTCAGTTTGGGCATTTTCCAGAATTTTACCCGCTATAGTACAGTTTAGAGCAATGTTTATATAGAGCTATTTTGGGGTAAAATATTCCTGCCTTGCAATTGAAGCAGTTGTGATTTAACTTTAAAAAGAAATATACATATCTATCTATCTCTCTCTATGTGTGTGTGTGTGTATATATATATATACATATATATATAAAGCAAACTAGTACATTAGTATGTTTCATATGTTTCATATACTTGTAGTGGACCGGATTTTGGTAAAATAAAAGCATGCAATTTTCAAGTCTAGAATTTTTCAGGTCTAGCCCTAATTATATTTAGTTGTTTTTAACTCATGCCATTGTAGCATCTAGCAGATTTTATGATATGTGGAAATAAACATCGATAATTTACGGAAATATGGTGCAAACATTTTGACTTAAAAGAGAAAAATCTAAGTATCTTACTCCTATGTAGATATTGATGAATTAAAATGCAGGAGCAGATGCTGCTTTAGAAAAGAGCATGTACCGGTAAGGCTGCAATGCAGCGCTAGGAGAGCTCCTTCAGTATTTGTGCTGCAGATAAAATTTCCTGAGCTGTTGAAGGGAGATCCACTCTGACAAATTGCAAAGATTATTAAATGTATCTGCAGAAAGTCTAAGAAAACAGCATTCCAAGCACGTTGATTACATTTCAGTAGAAATCATAAAGTACCGTAGTAAGAAGTCATCTCGTTTTTGAGGCATGAATTCACTTTGAACCTTCCTGTTTTATCACCCTCTTCTTCACCAAAAAAGATGTCAACAGCATAAGCCCCGAGAAGGTTCTTTAGCTGTTTGCATCCGTTTTTGTTAAGCATTTGTAACTCTGAGAATTGCCAGTGTTTTTAAGTCCCTGTCTCTTCTGGAAACAGTAAATAAGTACCTTTTTTCCTGCTTTTTGTTTTTATCTAACAAGTGAATATGTGAAATCCTAAACCAGTTTCCAGAACTGTTTGTATGAGAACCATCCTATTGAAATTATGATCAGGAATATTTATCAGCTGGGCAACAGACCAGTTTTATCCAAGGTAATATTTATTTGTCAGTGGAGAGGAAGAATCCAAATGCTGAAGTAACAGACAAGAGTGGCACTTTACAGGCTTTTGCACGGGTGCAAAACAAGTCAATGATCAACATTCGAAGTGCAACAGTCAATGATCAATGGAGCTGGCTGCTCTGGGGAATCGTTTTCATGATGAATGCCATTTTTCAAGTATCTAATCAAACCAATTAAGCATAAAATACAAATACATATAAAGATACATTCAAGTACATGAGTGTTTGTAGATATATTGCTGTGGTCTACATGACCAACCTGCTTGAACAAAGATGCGATGCAGGATTTTAAATACAGAAAGATAGAAGGGGGACCTGTATACCAGAAACCTATCCGAATATACAAAGAAAGTCTCAGCAGTGATTTTTTTATTAATTCCACGTTTCTGCTTCCCCAGTGAAGGTCACAGTGCTCCATTACTCTGCACCATGTAACAAAACTTAACATCCTAGTGAGCAAGACTGTTGTAACTTTATCTAGTTGCTATACAGATAAAACAAGTGAAAATAAATCTCTCGGTACTACCTAACCCACACAATGTTTGTCAGTCTAATATTGTGATTTGAGTAGCCTTTAAATATTGTGTATTGCACAGTTACAAATTTATCACTAGCACAATACAGTGAAACTCATGGTGTTTATGAATTAAGAACAAATAACCTCTCTGCGTATCTTCTCCTGTTCCTATTAAAGTCAATGAGCTCCTGCTGACTTGTCTGGATATGAGAGCTCAGGCTGCGCACGAAGGCCGTGTCTGCAACGAGGGCACCAGGGGTGGCATCTTCAAGACAAGGGTGACACTCTGCAGTGAGTTGGGGACAGTGCAGCATTAAGAGAAGAGATACTTGACAAGCAAATGCTCAGCGCAGAGACGGGGTGGCAGCACTTGATTGGAATAAAAGGGTAAGGAAGAAACAAGAGGAAATCAAGGCACGAGCGCTGTTATTCCCACCGGCTCCCGACGCCGTGTCGCTGCTCTGAGAGCTCCCAGCTGCTGCTGCGCTGCGCTCTTACACCAAGAGCCAGCCTGGGATCGTTGATTGCTTATATTTGCTCAGGATGTCAGGAGCAGACCCCTGTTGTTCCAAAAAGCAGCAGGAACCGTTTTTTGCTTTGTTCTTTAACCATTTCGTGTCCCAGAAAGGTACCGTCTGAGCACGCAGAGCGGGAGGCGGTAACGGAGACGATTCACCGACTTCCTCGTGTAACGACAATGGTTTCTGGTGGCTCTCTGACCGTCTACTTCTGACCAGTGTTCATCTCATGGCTGTATTTAAGCTCCTGAGCTCTGAAGAGGAGCTCTGTTAAACAAATACGCAGGCTTTTTTTCAGTGTTGTCTTCAGGGTCAGGTTTGCTCTGTTGATGACACAGTTTCAGGGTTTCAGTTTTGCTCATCTCAGAAAACTGCTAAGAGGGAAAAGGAGGCAAAACTACCTAGTATTTGTCAAGTAGGCTTATGTCTATCTGGAGAGGTTTCTAAACCTACAGTTTGGTAATGGAAGTATTTAGACATTGACTCCCCTGGCATGAGTGGTTTTTACAGTTCTTCCCACTTTGGGGCCTGATATTTAAAAACACCTACGCTACAAAGTGAAGCGCTCTGGGGCATGCAGACAGGATTGGGCTATGACTGGGCCCGACTCAAACACGAAATACTATATGAAATACTAGACATGTTGAGAACTGAGAGCAGTCTGAACTGTTGTGTCTCATATCGGTGAATTTGAATATATTGCTGCTTTAAGTATGGGCCCTGACACTGTAAAAAAGAGAGTGATTTAATAGACTGAGTGCACATACATAATACCAGGATCCTGTCAACAGACATTAATTCTTACTAAATATTTAGCTGTCTCCTGGTTTTGTCTCTGTGAGAGAGCTATGGCCTGGCAAAACTCTGAAGGACACCATGAACATGGCAAGTGATGGACACTATGAACAGGGCCAAGTCCCTGCGCAGGAGAGTTTTAGATCTTTAAGGTAAGTTTCATTGTACAAGAAACTGGTTGTCACCTGAGCGTTAATTCTTTTTGCTTCAGTGGGATACTGGCAAATTGTTAAAATTAGAGAATAACTTACAAGGATTTTACAAAGGCTTTTGTGATGCAGACAGCTATATATTTAAATAATTTGAGCAAGGGAAAATAAGTTAACCCCTAAGAAGGTGAGTTGTGGGACTCCAGTGTTCAAAGTATCTTATTTAAACTGCAGTTATAGCAGATCATTTATGTTGGCATCACAGAGTGGGTGAAGAACATATCTGGTTATTTTTTATGACCAAGTTGGAAGGTAATTTTTAATATGTTTTAGTTTGAGAGAAATTGTTTTCAGCATTTCCCCTTTGGGCTTCTGTGCCCTGCATTATGAAAAACAAATATTTTCAAAAACAGTCCAGCAAAAATGACTGCATCTGTCTCATGCATATCTCTTGCAAGGGCAGCAATGTGGGGAAGAGATTGCTGAAATTAAAGCACAAAACTTATTTTCTGTTCAAAGAGAAACCCGTAACCCGTACAAACAACTGAAACGAATGAGTTACTCTGAATTCATGGCATGCTTGTTTGATAACAGAGGCTCTGGAACACCTGTTTTAAGGGCTAGTGCTGAGGATTACAAGGAAATCTGCAGCGGAGAGGGAGAGCAGAGCACAGTGCTATTAGGAGGAACATTAAGTGCATGTTCACATTGGGCAGTTCAAGCTGCGGGGAATTTGCAGGGTATCAAGGAGGCCCTTATTAGCCTCACTTGAAAAAGAAATTCTAACTCCATGATGGGGTTGGGGGTACCGTAGATTTCATAGTTTCCTGAGCAGAGCCAGGGCCTAGGTAGGTCAACTGTGTCACTGGCTCAGCTGGAGATACATTTATTGGTGCTAAGGTGACCAGAAACTTATGGATTGGGAGAGTAAAATGGCAATATTGTTAATCTATTGCTATTTATCTTTAAGACTGTTGGAAGTGGTCTAGCACTGTGTCTTCGGGAGTGTAGTCCTTTTTCTGCAAAACTAAATAGCAAAAATTGCCTCTAACTTCAGCGGTTAGATACCAGTTACATATAGAGGTTTAGATATCCAAAGGGGCGGTATTTAATTTTAGAGATCCCTTAGATATGTCAGTTTGCAGAGTTGAGAGGGCAATGTTTTCATATTCCTCTTGTGATGCTGAGCATCTGCAGTGGTGAACTAATACCACCAAATCCTTCTGAAAATTCTTGTTGAGCAATCCATAGAAGATGGGGTTGATGCAAGTTGAGATCATAGCCACGAGGTGGCACAGTGTAAATGCTAGATTATGGTTACAGCTCATTAGTGCCTCATAATTCCAGTCAAAAACTACATTGAATATATTGAGAGGCAGCCAGCAAGCTGCGAAGGTCACGACGATTGATATCAACATCACGTTAATCCTTTTGTTTTCACTTAGTCGGCCCACGTTCTCCCTCGTCCTGTCTATTTTACCGTGTCTCTTCCGCAGACATACAAATATCCTGAGATAGCAGATAAAAATAAACCCCAGTGGGAAGCAGTACTGGAAAAGCAGCAGGCTGGTGGTAAAAATCAGCCTTTCCATAACAGATGGCCATGCTTCAATGCAAGCAACTTTGTTCTTGTAGAAGTCATGATGGAAAGATAGATATTTGAAGGGTTCATCAGTTAATTGGTGGAATATTAAAAAAGGAATGGATATCATAACAGAAACCCCCCAGATGAAAAGAATTCCCCAGTAGGCGTGGGAAATACTAGGCTTCCAGCCACGTGGGTTCACAATTAACTGGTACCTCTCAACAGCAATGAGTACAAGCGAGAAAATGGAGACGGTGACGGATATACTTTGTATGAAAGAGCTGATTTTACACATAGCTTCCCCAAATATCCAGTAGTCCATTAAGGTATAGGCAACTGTGACCGGAATGCACATGAGACAGATTAAGACATCTGATAAGGAGAGGTTGGCAATCAAGATATTTGTAACATTTTGAGCTTCTTTCTGTCGCTTTATTATGATAATCAGGCAAAGATTTCCAAAAAGCCCTACTATGGTCACTAAAGTATAAGCTGTAATGAGCACGAATACCGCAGGAAAGGAAAGCTGACATGTATCAAAGTTTAAAAACTGAGAATAGCTGTCGTTTGAGATAGTTTGATTAGACAAAACCTCACTAAGGTCCTGAACGTCTGTATCCATCATGAAGCATCTCTCAAACCATGGACAAAATTTACCTATTTTGTATACCTGGGTGTATCCACCTACTGTCTTTACTATTTGTGAGATATTTTGCTGGGGCTTTTCAAGGCTATGATTAATATGGTTCTATCTTTGCATTTGATCTTTGTATTAGTTTTGCTCAAAGTTTCACAAGTATTTACAGCAATGAAGAATCCTGAAAAGAAAAACAAATGAGAAGTAGTCTTGTGTTTGGACAGTTATCTGTATGGGGGTTGGTGCTACTTTTTTCTGCACTGATAGTGTTACAGAACCGTGGATCTCTTTACAGAGCTGCCTGTGATGTGTGAGAGAGAGCAGGGACAGCTCTGTTTAAAGTTGCATAATGATTTTCTTACAAATCTTCTTCTATCAAATGCACATAAATTTAGCTTTCCAAGACAAAATATTTTAAGATTTGTCTCAGCCAAAGATTTAGCAAGGTTTGAGAAATGTTGATGAGACACGTCTATTTTTATTATCAGAAAAATGAAGAATAAGGTTGTTCCATGAAATGGCTAACTGCAAACATCGCTTTTTTTTCCTTCTAAAACTATACGTGATAATGAGATAATATGCCAAATCCCTCTGACTTGATTCAAAAAGATGAGTGCTTGAGCATAAGTGATATACAACACACTTCTATGAATGACATCTCTATGGGACTTTCCTTTTTTGCATCTATGTATGTTGAAGATGGTATGTCCTTATTGCTCAGTTTAATCTGAGAAAAACATAAGCCAAACAGAGATGGCATCTTGGTTATCCAGAAAATGATTTCCCTATCAATAGTAGCTAGAGGTTATATTTCTAGTTTCCCTACGCACTGTTCTTTAAGTTTGACAAATGATGCCCAAAAACTTTACTGTGTTTAAATGCAATGTGTACTTAGAGAGCTAGAATTGCTTTGCCCTTCAGATCTAACTTAAACACGTGTCAAGAAAAAAAATCTGATATTAATATATTCCTGTTGTTTTAAACTAATATGGGAAGAATCAGCTTCAGCGGAGTATCTTGATGGGTTTGAATTTAGCAGTGGGTTAAAAAGGTTAACCTTAAATCAAAGGCTCAGCAGCCTTCTGGCCAGAAAGAGGCTGTTTCCAACCTGGGAAAGGAGACAGGAGGGGAGGGGGAAAAAAAAAAGTAAGAGTTACTTTTAAATTTAAAATATGGTTCAATATGTTCTCTATATATGAACTTTTTGAAACATAGTCTTAACTCACCTTAACTCCTTTGGAAGTAGGAGTTATTGGAAAATTAGCTGAAAGAAAGGCAGTTCTTCACCCCTAGTAATAAACATCGTAGAGTGAGAGCCCTGAGGAGACATGGGGTTGGGATGAAGAAGCGAGGGAGAATTAGAGGATGCACAAAGCAGGAGAGGTACCTTGTCAGTAATAGAAATAGTGTGTGTAATCTGTAGAAGCCTTAGCAGCATTTGACTGAAATAATTGCTGTCATTTAATCACCAAGGAATAGAAAATATTCAGTGGCTTGCGCAGGATTAAACAACAAACTCGGGGCTAGACTGAGAGCTGTGATTTTTGGTAACTGCTTCATTACTGGGCAGAGGTGATGTGGCTGGTGCATGAAGACCAGGCAAACAGACCTTCAGGCAACAGATTTCCTGGAAGACCCTGTAAATTACATTTCCTTAGAGTCCCAGGAGATGCCTGGCTGGATTTGCTGATGCAGGATGCACATGCGGGAAGAGCAAGAGGCCGATGAGCGGCAAATGTTGCTCTGATGTTCCTTGCCGACAGTTTGGAGTGTGGAAGAGTCTAAGGTCTGGCTGTGTCATCCCAAGGATGATTTTCCCCTTTGCACTGATCTCTTCACCTGCCTTGCCCAGGTCTGAACGCTCTCCTCTAAGGAGACCAGGATTTAGCACTGCCTTGGAAACAAGACGCTGTCCCCTTTGCTGCCTGTTATGCAAGCAGGAGAAGCTGTGGGGACTCAGGGGACGTGAGGCTGAGCCAGTTTTGTAATATTTTATGCACTACTTGCTGCTCTTGCTTATTTATCCATGGCTGCACGACAGGGTTTGGTAGTCAGAGCTGGATGTTCCCTCCTGGGAATTCACTGTGGGTCTCGGGGCTTCTTCAGCAATTTCTGCCTTTAAGGAAAGCCCCTTTATTAACCTCCTCATCAGTTCACTCAGCACCTCAGCTTCAGACACACTGATCATCTACATCATCATTCTTTTCTTTTTCAGTAAAAAAAAAAACTTTCACTATTCACTCTATTCACTCTGTACTGCAAACTAAAAAGTTTATTCTCTAGTAACATATCCTTCTGAAAGGTAATTTAAACATTTCCTTCGCAATAAAACCAGTACCTTGTTTAAAAATCTGAAGTTTTCATAGCATTAGAAAAAACAGTACACATTAGTATGCAATTCAGCATGTTGAAATACATTGTAATTCATGTTGGCATTAAAAATATTTAGGAATTGAGATTCATAAATATTAACGGAATGAGCATCCTTGAGCTGCAACTGCAGCTCATGTTAAAATTGCAGTGAAGTGCTCAATGTGAGAACTACTGTCTCTTACTTTCCATCCCTAATCCATGCATTTTAAGAAGGATTCTCTATTATAAACAGTGAGAGTTTACCACTATAAAAATTATAAGGCAATTTGTTTAGTGCTTTCATTCCTCTAGATGCAGAAATATTACCAAATCATGTAGAAGCAAAAGAAAGTTAAAAGCACAGTCTAAAATTAAAGTACTCTTTAAAAAAAATTCTTACCTGTTCTAAAAATAGGTAGTCCCCATCCCTTAGAAATGACCAAATGTTTTGGTTGAAACATCATCCGTTAATTAAGTTTGAGTAGTGCATAAATTAAATTTGATGAAAGTTTCAATCCAATTTTAAATGTAGGATGTTCAGTATAAAACATCCTTCAAAAGATATATTGCAATAACTTTTTCCTTCAGGTTTACGGATTCTGTGACTTCTTACCTGATTCAAAGTTCAAGTCATATCCGCACTCTGTCCTTAACAAATTTTCTTTTCCCCTTTTTGAGTTAATTGCAAAGCCAGCAAACACATCTTCTTTGTGTACAAAAGAATCCAAACCAGAGCCATCTGCTGCTCAAGCTATATTTAAACTCTCCTTTCTTCTCTTTCTGAAACAAGCCAGTTTCACAATTTCCAACTGTGACTGAAGCCACCAGGCTGTGGAAGGGCTGCTGAGGAATAAGACAAGCTCTGGAATCCAAGAGGAGGCAAACGGCAGTGAGCGGGGTGGGGAAAGGACCAGTAGTCACGGGGATGGGCTTTCCTTCCCTCCGCCCCGGCAAACACATCAGCTGCCAATTGCATTTGCAGTTATCTTATCTGTTCTGGAGTGCAAATGTTTTCCTAAGAAGCTGGGTTGATTTTATTGATGTAAACATCTGCAGATGGCTTATTGCTTTTTCAACTGAGGGTGATATGAAAATACAGTAAGCTGCTTAGAAAGAGCAAGTGCATCCTATTAAGTGGAATCATTTACTGTTTTGAAATTAAGTTCCTGATTTCCACTATAACTTGGTGTTTTAGCATTTACTGCAGAGATATAAAAAACATGGCATATTTTACTAGTAAGTGCTGAAGGTTTATTAGTATTTCTGTTTTTTTCTGAAGGAAGTTTGTGCCTTTTATAATGACTTATTCATAAAAATAAAATATATTTGTCTATTAAGAAACTAGGTGGGGACATTTATGGGACTGGAAAGTGACCGGCCTTTCCTAGGACGTGCTCCCTGGTACACTGGTTTTTAAATTCCTCCATCCCTACCCTTTACTTCCCAGGATCTGTCTCTCATGCTGAACCATCCTGGGACTCTTCCGTATGAGAAACACCGAGGCAATAGGAAAGTAGTTTGAGTGTGTTTGTATGGGGAGACTTGGGAAAAGCAGGTAAGTTAGATAAATGAGGGAGTGATAAATTAGAGTGTGGAAACTTCACACAACAGATTTGAAAGAGCCCTGTGTCTGTCTTCCTGCTATATGTGTGGAAACTGCACACAACAGATTTGAGAGAGCCCTGTGTCTGTCTTCCTGCTATACCTCGAGTGTCTGGATAAAGCTAACTGTGCAAATATTGTTAACTGTAATGCTGTCCTATTTGTAGAAAATGGCAGTGGAAGGAATCTCTGAGATCCACAAATCCTCCCACTTCTGATACTTATACCCATTCTTGATGTATTTAGCTCCTTTTTAAACATCAGTGGCAATCCTAGATTATGTCTAGTGCCTAATTTACTGTTAGGAAGATTTTCTGAATGCTTCCTCCCTCAATTGCCCTCATTTTAGTTTAAGCCCTTTGCTTTATGCTTGAGCACAGTCAGTGAGGTTTGAAATTTTAACCAAAATGCTTTTAGTAAACCATGTGAATATAGTTTTCTAAAATATTTCTAGCACATGCTGATTTTAACTAGGACAAAAATACTATGTAAAAAGTCTTTCCAAATAGAGTTTCTGCTTCAACTCAAGAACTTGTAGGAGTTTTGGTGGTGGTTGATAGGAGTTTGGAGATGGATTTTTCTCCCAGCTAACCACCCCCCTTATATATACCCTGTATATACACAACTTCTCAGCTTCCTAGGTGAAAAGAATTCTTTAAAAGTGCTGCCAGTGCAGCTGCACCAGGGACCTGTAATATCTTGGAAGTACCTGGAATATTTCCTCCTAATAAGCATTCACTTTTATAGCACGTGAAAGATGCACAGAGAAATAAGCAAGAATAACTGAACTCTCCTTCTCCACCTCATGTTGGTGCAAGTTAACGTCAGAAAGGAAAGATAATGTTCTGTGATGGAGAAAAACCCAATTCCTCCAAGTGTTCCTGTTCCGTGGAGTGGTTAACCCCTGGCAAGCCATATTCAGCAAATAGGTTCTAATTTGATCCAACTATCAACTTTCAAAAATAATTTAGTGTGTACTGTAGGTTTGTCTTCAAGATCATGCAGAGGCAAATTGATGTGTATGTGTCAGT